ACTGCCTCCTCATTCAATAGCCACTGACTCATAACTTAACAATGAAGAGATTCGCATATCAATTGAACACGGTAAACGCCGCACTAAACCTTTAAAAACCCAGTGAAATTCAAAGGATAATCTACGTCCTTTTACTTCTGGTTTAAAACGGGAAAGGTAGTAATACATTAAATAAAAAATGTGTAAAAAGCGCCCACGAAAAAAGTCTCTTACCTTAGAATATCCACAGCTTTCTCCTCGATTGTATTTTCGCCCAGAAACCATGTAAACCAGGAGTGTGGTCATCAAACCACTACATTTTGAAACCCCAAAAAAATGTGCCGAGTGTCAGAGCTGGACGATCGCACTTCAAAAACGGAGGAGTATTGTAGCCATTTTCCGTCTGCAGTTAAGGAAATTGCACGCTGACCTACCGTTCGTCGGCTCGACTCCGCCTCTTTGACAACGCACCACTTACATCAGCGCTTTTTTCAGCTTTAATGAAATTCAAAAACATGAAATTATTCCTGTCTGATTGGAAAGCAAATACAACCTCCTTTGCTGCTTGCGATTGCTTTCGTCATGGAAAAGAGAAACAGGAAAACATCCACAAGGCATTTTAAAAAAACGTAGACAAATCTGCACAATGAATCTTGAAAGAAATTCTGTTTTGTAAAWATTACAGTATTTGGAATATCAACCTTGCGAACCAGACAAATGCTGCTTGATGACAAAATGACACAAAATGAAATGAATGTTTTGTGAATTGACTTTTTAGCAATAAGCATACAGTAATAGTGGTAATTTGTTTATAACATTTACACACTTCCCACTGTGCTATGGAAATATTGTCGTTCAGAATAAAAAAGAATAACAWTGATTGGTGCATCAGCTAAAACATATTTCAGTTATATAAAATTGTAGTGAAAGCGAAAAAGGGGTTATACATCCTCATTCACAGTTCTAGAGGGCTGACTTTGCGACCTCAGAATTAAAAAAGATTTGCGGAATCCGCTTTTTCCAGTAGAAATATATCAAATTTAGCATCCCAATTAGAAAAATGTTAATAATTGCGTCAAGGATATGCTTTGTCTATGTATTCAATCACTTGATTTACGTATCAAAAGAAAATAAGCCCATTTCACCAAAGTCGGCAGGTTCTTTGGTTACCATAATTGGAAAAAAGACATTAATTCAATTTATCATCAAATCGTTTTCCCACACTTTCCGCCGTCTTTGCACACTTTAAAACGCACTAACGTCACATTGAGGACACCGCCACAGCTTGAGTCTGCATGTTGTCCAACAATTTCCAGAAAGCTATGCAGTCATCCCCAAGAAACCGAAGTGCATGGTCGTATAACAGTAGTAGTAGGTCGGATAGCGGTTTTCTCACTTTGTTCGCAGTTGGTCGCTGAATGACAAATTGATAAAGGCCTTGGGCGTGTATATATAGGATCGACAGTACTTTATCTTACTGAAATGATGAAAAAAATCTATGATGTCGTTTGCTGAAAAGAAGCCATRTCGGAGGAATCAATGCATGGCTCACTAAATATCGAAGATATAAATGATTTGTAAGCGGCTTAAATCTCGTTTTACAGCACTAAACTAGATATGCCGACTAGAAGACCGTATAGTCCAAGACGAAGCTAAAGAAAAAGAAAATTATTGGCATCGCTTTTGAAAGAAATTGGACCAAGTGCAGAAAGGCCGAGGAAGCATAATCCACAACACCTAAACCTGCACACTGATACAGCCACGAACGAGGCGGTCAGCAGTGCATTCGAATTCACATTCTATAAAAGCCCATGCTCTAAAAAAATGCCCTCCGGCAAATCAACCTGGTATCAAGGCCGAGAAGAAAGTGTGAGAAACTCTTTTTTTTCACGAAGTGTGAACGTTAGTTCGTTTCAAGTCGCCATTGCGATCTGGCTTTATTTTCCAAAAAAACCCTCACTATCGCACAGATGTTCGAGTATTTTTGCTTTGAAAAAGGTGTACAATTTCTAAACTAAGCTATTTGMTAAACCTCTTTCTTTTTGTCTTTTTAATGCTCTTTTTATCTTTTTAATGTACGTACACTAGCCGTAAAGACTCTGGGGTCGAGATTGGCGCGAATTCACAGATATCGCCTATACCAACCTGCTCTGCGCGCGGTGTCAAATGGCGGCGGCTTTTAGACTCTTCCCCATTCTCTTACTCGGCTTTGTGGTTAGAGCTTCAACGGGTGGAATCAGAGCCCGAAGCCAACCCAGRCAATCGAGTTAMATTGCGTCCCCTGTGAATGTCTCGTAGATACACTGAATGCACCATAGCTTGTACATGTRTATCTTGTCATGTCTTATAATGACGAAAAACGTTGTCTTTGCCAGTCATTAAAAAACATTGATAAGTTTGTGAGGGTCAAATTTCACATGAAACAGGATCGCCTTAGCTGCTCAGCTAATTCTTTTGTTCCTTTTTCCCCCTAGAGGGCTTTGCCTMAGTGAAACTACTGGTACGTTAGGTTATCCTTTGCAAGGCACGAAAAGGGTATCACCTTTCTAAGCTTGTACCTAAACCAGGCAGTCCATGGAATCTACAATACTAAAACTATTATTGCTAAAATAGAAAATCCTAATAAACCAAACAAATAAAGAATGTCCATCTCGGTTCATCAGGAGTCGGTAAGCTCTTTGTGTCTGGTTGCGGCGGGCGTTTGCAGGGACGATTCGCTTGGACCATGAAATCTCTAATTTCAAAGAGAATCTTTTCGGACCCTTTGATCTATTAAGTTTGCTGTAAGAAAGTGACTATGTCTATCAAAATAGAGTTGGTTTTTCATGGAAATATTTTCCATTTTCTGCTTTGCTAGTTTCAGGTGTATCCCGCAGAGATGACTTAGTACTGGCGGATCGCCGTCACGAAGCGTGAAAAACACTGTTGTATATACAAGACATAGATTTATGAACTATGAAATAGAATTGTGGTAGTCACTGAATGTATTACTTTATCATTTAATTATCCATGAAATACTTTTTTTCTCACTTTCAAAAACTTTTTCACTGACACATTCATGGTAACTCTCTATATTAGAGATGAATAAAAGTTACTTTCTTTTGTTCTCATGTGGCTATTGTCGACCTTGGCCATTAAAAGTTTAGTTTTGTAAGATTTGGTGTGCTCTTTATACAACACTTAAGTGATGACTAATTTCGAACCTTTCACGGATAATTCCAGATAATAATGTGTTTRAATTCTAGTTGTCTTTTAATACATGAGGTGGCATGATTCTAGGTAGCATAATTATCTCTTTTGTTTTCTTTTTGTAAGAGTTTGGGGTACTCCACCTCATTTAGCAGGGTCTTGGAGCTGATTAATTCAACTTTCTGCCGGAGTTAAAAAGGATTGTTAGTTGGCTTTGGTAGAACAACATTTCATAGTGAATCATTTCATTCGTTTTCAGTGAGAAAAACTAAAAATGTCTATTTCCATAGATTGCACGTTGAGCCATTATTGCAACCACACTGATAAAGATTATGAAGAACTGTAATCTCAGTATAGTTTACCAATCTTCAACCTATATTTTGGACACATAMGAAATTATTTTATTCGTGTTTAGTATCTTTTTACATCGTTTATTATTTCTCACTTTGTTATCACTGTTTATTCGTGATTATTCGATTTTCTGCAATTTTAAAGGCGTCAGACGATAGTAAAGTTGTCTAGAAAAAAACGTCCCCGTATCTACTTGAAACCTCCAGTAAGCAGAGGTCGTGATCAGTCTTTTACAAAAAGGGGTTATGATTTTCCTTGACGCAAAGGAAGTCACTCTACCGTCTCTTGTGCGGTACGCCTTTTCCAATTGACATGTAATTCTTCAARTTTATTTCTTATTTCATATACACATGTGTAGATTGATGTCAATATTTTCATTGATGTCTACTATCAAGTTTAAGGGGAGATGTAGCCATCGACATAGTGTCATTATTCAGTCCTGATTTGCGTCTAGTAAACTAGAAATCATGATCCATACAAGTGTTTGTCACTGGTGGCCAAACTGTCGAAAAAACACCAACCGTGCGTCTTTAAGCGGATTTGTTCCACGCTGCATTTTTGGTTCAGTCAACTAAAGACATAATCTCATTCTGCTGAGCCATGCAAGTACGAGGTATTTGCTCACGTCTGGAAACGTCKGTAATATATGTGCAAAAAGATTTTTTTGTTCTCTTGTCTTCAAATTGAATAGCACACTTATCATTTGGCTCCAATTAGTGGTTTTTTTTTAGCTAATAGGTAATTATGGTTTTCGATCGTGTCTATTGCACAGGTGTGACAAGCCAGATCACTTTCATATTACCTGTTGCGAGCGAGCGCCTGCCGAGAAATGTACAACTTAACTTTGAAATGTAAAWTTTTTTGAAAAACCAAATTCTCCGACAATTTACATTTGATATTAGGTCCATTTATAGTGTCTTTCCGTGAAAATACATCAAACCAACGGCGCAGCTACAGTTGTAATGTACGTGAACAAAAAATKTATTAGTTTGTCTACATTTCGAATAGATAACCTGTTGCCATTAGCCGAAGGCGTTCTAGAACAAGTCATCGTTACACCCCTTTRCAATGCACTACCGAACAAGAAATGTCTTTTAAATTGCCGACGATAAACCTCRAATAAAACTAACATGTAGTTTACTATTTGCCATTAAGGTTTCGGTGATAAAATAATAGTTAGTTTTGTTAAATGGAGAAAGTTTGAACCGTTCTTGAGTCTACTATCAAAGTGTCATTTGAAACTGACGGGAATGTGAAATTGATTTGTGTAACAAACACAGGTTGATAACTTTTGTTAGTTCATTGAACAATTAAGGCTGTTGAATAATTCAACTTGCTTTTACTAAAACAATAGAAAATTAGATAAATTTGTTATTTTGATTTGTTTAAAGTGTGGTCGCACGTTGCGAAATTACAAATTGTCAAGCACGCTAAGCATCTTCTAACTCTACACCAAAACACAAAAGAAGTGACGATAAAAGGCAGGGGGAATTTTCTTGTGGCAAACCTGTGATTCTAGAAAAAAAATCATTTTCAAAATTACCAGTTTTMCGGTCTCCTTGGACAGTAGCTTGAGACAAATCAGTCAGCTGCTTGTACACTGTCAATGATGGAATCAGAAGARTCAGTCAGCAAAGTACAACTGAGAAACCCTAAATGTGCCCGATGTCGAAACCACAACGTCGAATCGGACCTAAAAGGACACAAACATTATTGCCAATGGCGCGATTGTGTGTGTTCTAAGTGTATCTTAATCGCAGAGAGACAGAGAATCACTGCGGCGAGGGTAGCATTACTCAGATATCATTCTAATAGTGTACATAGTATATCTGAACACTCAGATCATTCCATGGGACTACAAGGAATACAAAATGGTGAACCAATGGGATTACATAACGATATACCATCCTCGCCTCAAGAMAACATTGCGGTACCTCGTAACGAAGAAGGTAAGTCTGTAATATTTTGTAATACATTAGTATATACAGGGATAACGATGATATCAGTACTAAACTCTAAATGCTATCATAATTTCCAATGTTAAATACTAGGTAATACAGTATGCACATTTGTRATAAAATATCCACAAATGAGGGCTGTCATCGTTTGGACATGTGTATGTACTTCCTTTTATCACTGTCAATATTTCACCAGACTATAAATGCAATTTCCAATAAATTATAAGACGGAAGACTAGAGCAGAACTGATGAACAGCTATCATAATCATTGTCAAGTAACACAACCCAAGAAGATAGCTGACTAAAATAAACTTTGGCGAACAAAAATAATACAGAAAAGAATCGAAATTTCGGCTAGGAAAGCGTACGAACTCTCTAGCTCAAACGGAAAGAAGCCATTAAGATAATATCAATTTTTCGTTCAATAACTTTTTTTCTTAAAAGAACGAAGACGAAGTTAGAATCATTACATTAATTTATGGACGTAAACGCCGCCCTGCGTCGGTCATTAGTCGAAGTTAGTTAGTTGTAATYGTAATCATATAAATCATTTCAATTGCCAGTAAATATTTTATCTTTAAAGGGAAAACCTCCCCATCCTTTTACCAAAAGAGTATCACACTAAGATTACTACTGATACACTGAAAAAGGGTGTGGATTAATTGAAGACTATCCCAGAACTTTGAAGCAATTTTATAGAACAAGAGCCTCAAAGCAAGTTAATTTTAAAGTCTCGCAAGTAATATAATGCGAACAGCAATTACACCCTTTATAAGTTCCTACTCAATAGACAATACACTGACCTGAACTACGGTAGCATGCAAACATGGAATGGATCGTACAGCAGGTCAATTAGTAGTCAAACAATTAAAGTCTTCTCTACCTGCTACATTATACACTTAGTGTATTTAGCTCTTGATTTAACCACGACATTCCGTGCTTTACTAATCGTTAAAATCTTCAAACACATTGTAATAAAAAAAATTCAAMATGAAAACTACCAGAAAGAACGCTTCGATTATATTATACATGATCCTCTTCAAAAATGGTTATCTTGTAATAATCAYAACAGTGTTATCCAGAATGTAACACAACCCAACGTTGTTTGCCACAAAACCATCCTACATATATTCGTGTGTCAATGTGTCCCAGTTTTTAATTAAACTGGAGAAAAGAAAAAAAGCAGGGTTGCCTTAACTATTTTGATACCCCCCAAACATTTTAATGGATATCATATCCAATTGAAATGCTTTCAAATTATTATAAAAAAAGTTTAAGCTGTTAATTCGTTTTCGCCTATCTTCTGTTATTAACAGAAACGTATCAAGACACCAACAAAAAGATCAGTGGAATAAAAAGAGAGCATCCAGAAGACCCCGCAGAAAATTCGGAGCAGGATTGCTCGCCAGAATGTGAAATTCCAACAAAACGTCAATCCATCCAATCAAAAGAKGAAAAAATCATTGCACCTAAAGCAAATAGCGAGCCAATCTTATCATCTCACACAAGCGCTTTGAGAAACAGCACGTCAAATGGTGTAGACTACAATATGTTGCTTCTCAGGCATGGAATCGATAGTTTTAACAGGAGAAATGCAGTTCACAATCCTCAAAGTCCAATTGAAGTTTTGGTGAAAATCTTTCCTACATTACGACGTTACATCCTGGAACTGATACTTAAAGGGTGTGACAATGATATCGTCAACGCTATTGAATGTATCCTGGCAACCAACCACATATCACCTCTGCATCGAAACGAGACACACGTGTCACGTGCTCAAGAAGTCCCCTTTCATTACCAGGTTCCCAGGCCACAAGTTATCCCTCCTAATGACACCATGACACCCACTTCTACTTATCCAAATATGGACATGATATCCAGACCACGTGGAGTGGGGCGTGCTCATATGTATGGTCCAGCTTCGAGATTTTCATCAGTGATTACCAAGTGCACATTCTCAACRCCGCCACACATTCCAACATTACCGTTTGACAGGGTTCGTCAGAACTGTAAATCACCCGAGAATCGTTCATGTTTAAAGTGCGGATGTGGAACAAGAAATGGCGAGGCAGCTTGTTGTAGTTCTGCRGAACCTGTCAGACACTATCAACAGAGCTGGATCTAGAGGGGGAGGGTGGATATGGTTTTGGCAACACCATGCTACTTATCATAAGTTATGGATGGTTACACAGTTGAAATATCTGCCTTCCCTTCTAGCTTTGCATAGTAAATATATTACCTAGTAAAGACAGGTAATCTAGCTTTGCATAGTAAATATATTACCAGGTAAAGAGACGGAATCCTCAAAATACATTATTCTATAAAGAACAATATTATAGTCCTGTAGACATTCAAGGGAGTCCAGAGTTATCGAAGTGTCATGACCCTCATGGCATTTTTTAACCTAAAGTTACGTTTTTGAAAAAAAGGTGAAAAATGGAAAAGGGATTCCTATGCAAACTGAATTTTCCCCTCCCAACCCCTTCTACAAAAGGCCTGGATCATCCCTTGTTAAAACTTTCATCAAGTTTAACCAAGTCTCAATGTAATCAATGTAAACTTTCTTTTAAATCAAAAGGCTATTGCATATAATCAAGTAAACAAATTTAAGGAAACAATAAGGAATTCTATAAATCATTGCTGCAATTCCCAATGCTTTTTGGAGGCAAACGTTATTAGCTTGAAAAGGGGGTGTTTGTTAAAATTAAACAATAAATTAATACACATGTGAAAAAATTGCATTATATTCTATTTTTTTATGCATTTGATATCACAATATTGTATATTTATGTAATGGGTAACGTAATAGTGCTTGTCGTAATTCATTGAAAAACCTGTAATTCACTACTAAACTGATGGATGGATGCATCTTTAGTCACTCTGATAGTAACATTTCTTCTTTATAACATTTTTGCTTTGGTTTCATCTTCCTCTCAATGAAGATTCAGAAGTGGGGGATTTTTCCAGCTTTTCAAAGTGTTTACGAGCATTTTTAATGTTGATTTGTGTAGCAGCAGAGGCTAGAAAAGATGAAAACACGTTTCACTATAAACGACAGAGCTAGACTAAGAATAAAGTCATTTTCTAAAAATCTACAGAGAGGACTACAAAATCAGTTGCTACAAAAGTAATTCAGATACTTACGTATTGAACAGTCAGACATAATGACCATGACATATGTATTYGGTGTAAAAACATCAATAAATGAAGCAAAGCCAGAATTCCGGACTTCCATACTTTGAAAGTGAGCATGTAATTTACTGTAGAGGAATGTACAAGTTAAAAAAATGAATATTTACAGTCTGAATATAGGARTAGTGAAATTACATACCTGCAACTCAGCTTGAACTGTTTTATTATATTGCTAATTTTTTCAAATCTGTGAACATCTCTGTGAGGTTTACGCTGGCAGAATGAGATAACCTGAAAAACRCACAAAGTGTTAACAAGTYATTTTTCTCTTGGTATGRAAACTTTCAAGAAAGACTTACCAAAAACGTAGCTCGTTCAAAAAGTAACACTTCATCAGCATCAATGATAGAAGCAAAATTCTCAAGACTCTGTTCAAGTTGTGTTACATTTGGAATCAACTGATAAACTATGGATGACCAGGCTTTGTAAAGTGTTTCATCCCAGATTGACGTCCTGAAGCATGTACAATCCAAAGGCTTGGAAAGACGTTTTAAGTCTTCCTCTCTTTCTTTGAAGATCTAAAATGTAGAGTACATACATGATTTTTGTGTATTCTATATAAGACCTACTGTGCTTCTACTTCTATTAATCACTTTTTTATTTTCAAGCTTGAAATAACAAAGGTATCTTTGTCAAGTCTGCTATATTTACTCAAATAGATATGATGAAAAATCAATCAAAGTTTTAACTAAAATTGTGTACAAAAGGTTTTTGAGGGTGCAGTAATTGCTCTTTACAATACTCGGGTAGTACAGTGACTGGACTACCCTCCTTTGCAACTCTACTACATGGGATTCCTGTGTTTAGTACAAAAAGCTTTTGGAGGGGGAGAGGATTAGGAAGGAAGTTCTTCTCGATCAAGATTATTTACACAGGAAGACCAAAAAGAGGAAAATGACTGGACCAAAGGGGGGAAGAACAATATACAAAAGTATGAGGCTAAAAAATACATTATCTTACCAGATCCCTTTGATCTTCTTGTACTAAATCCATTTTGTGAATCAAGCAAAATATCTTTGCATCAGGAGAATTTTGTAGAATGGCTTCTAAGCATGACTGATAATAGTGCATATCTTTTTCAAGCTCCCGACTCTCTACATCAAACACATATATCAAGACTTCCACATTACGGAATATGTTGTCTCTTTGACTTGCAAAGTAGTTCTCCATGAATGCTTCTTGCCTGTTTTAAAAGGTATGAAATCACCAAGTAAAGAACAAGCTATGTGCATTTCAAACATAAATGATGCATACATGTATATCCTTATTGGATAGGCTTAGAATCATGTAAATTTAACAAGATACAACATGCTGACAAGGTTCACAACATGCAAAAACAGCTGTCCAATTTCTAGTTGACTTGGCCTTGTGTTGGCCTGACCTTGTCAAAGGTCACAGGTGAAGGTGTTGTCTTCTTCATTTGTTCATATTTTAGTCTCATAATATTTACTGATTACACATGCTCATACATGATTTTAAGAATTGAATGTTATTCAATTCTTTGCTAAGAAGTAATCGCATGAATATCGCATGAAAAAACGGTCAATCCCGCAATCCCGCAAACCCCAATGTCCCCCTCTATGTACAGTGTAGCTTTTCTTTTTGATAAGATTTCAAGAACTAAATCCTTCAATTAATTATCGATTTTATACAATTTTAAGCTTATATCATCMAACATGTCAATTTTATATTGAAAAAAATATCAACAAAAATTATTGGAAGAAAGTTTCTGGGTGTAGGATGTCATACGTACCCTCCACAATCCCATAGATTAAGAACAAGGTTGCCAAGAAATCGTACATGGGAATGYTCAACATCAACTGCGAACAATAACAAATATCACTTAATGTTTCACATGTACAATGAAAAGATAAGGAAGACAACTCGTACGTAACTTATAGTAGAGACAAGAGACTTTAAAAGGGTATRAAATCTTGAACGTTTGACTTACTTGTTGCCCCTAATCTCCGTGTATCACGAGCTATATAGTTAGCAAATATAATAGATCTCATGCTAGTCTTTCCAGACCCGCTTTTGCCCATAAGCAAAACCTGTAAAGGAAAGATAAACAATAAGCTAACATGAAGACGACATCTTTGACGTTTTGTATTGCTCAATGTGCCACAAGACTAAGCAATTGAAAGGCCTTCTATCTCAGCTTTCTAACCTTCTTCTTCATCTTGACGCTCTTTTCCATTGACGATATGCTCGAGTTGTGCGATCGAAGTCCAATACAAGCAGAAAAATGCAAAAATRGTGGTCTCACGTGAGCGAAGAGTTCAAGTCATGTGAAAGCGAAATCTTATGCAAATTAGTAAKCCCCTTGGGGACTGGCTCTAGTTTTTGAGAAAAACAACTGGAACGGCAGCAAGATGGCGGATGTTGGTAATTAGGATTTGAAGTGAAGGAAAATGGGGAAATCCGACGTCGAAAAGTCGAAAGTTTCGTCTAGGAGTAAGAGGGAGAAAAGTGTTTTTCCCACAAAGGTTAGCGAGTTTTTTAAAACACCTTATCGTGAATGCTACAATGTTTCGTACTAAATTTTGATCACTTTCATATGCGTAGACTTCTTATTTCAAATTTTTTCGTTGTATTTGCAAGATTTTGAACATTTTCCTGTAAATTTAGGTTGTAATCCGAAGGCTTCCTCCCAGTCTGACTGAAGAAAAGCTGAAAGAATGTCTAGGTGCTTTACCCGAGTACGATTTCTTTTATTTTGTGGATGGAAAGCTGAGGTAAGCTTAATGAAACTGATATGAAATTCAAGAGCTACTTGGTTCTCTTGCTTGAAATGTTTCAAAACTCTGACAACTTCAAAGTGGGCATATCATAGTAATCTGTTTTTACAAAACGTTTGCTAATTTTTGGTTATACATTTTCTCTTATTTTTTTTGTGACTTATTTATAGCTATTTCTATTTATAGCTTCGATCCTGTGCTGTTTTCAAGGGCATACATTAATTTTGTCAACCCAGATGATATCATCAAATTCAGGGACCAGTTTGATGGCTTCTTGTTTACTGATRACAGAGGTGAACAATGAAAATTAATCAGCCAGCAACATTTCCATGGTGTATTAGCATATAAAATGCTTTCTCAYAACATTCACAGGTCAAAATTATCCAGCGGTTGTAGAGTATGCACCATATCAAGGAACACCAAGGAAAAAGAACAGAAAGGATCCCAAATGTAACACAATTGAACAAGGTCAATATATAGAATGTACTTCTTTGGGTTCCCTATATATCCATAATGAGGAAAGACTGGACATTTATTAATATTATATTAACTATGATCTAAGGAATTACGGCAGGACCCTCGATAAGCTACCTTCTCCATAAATATCAACTTGATTAATCTTAAAACAAAACAAAAACAAGAAAAAAAATGGAATAGAAAATTTCTGACATGAACTGCTGATTTTAAAAGTATTGCAGGTGCACACATGAAAGGAGGTATTTTTGGACAGAATTTCAAAGCTTTCTTGATTTCATGTGCATGATTGCATATCTCAGAAGTTGTCTCCTATCTTGAAAGCCCTGCAGATATCTTTATTGATCCAATATCAAATTACACCAATAAACTGATGACTTTTTAATGATACCAACAGATAAAGATTACATTGCTTTTCTTGAATCTCTTGAAAAAGAAGTTGAGCCACTACCAAGTATAGAAACACACCTTGAGGAACTGGAGGCCAAAAAAGACAGTAAGTCAGTCTCCAGCTAATGTCATTTCAATGCACTATACATGCCTTTCATATCCATCATTACCATCAAAATAATATACTATCTGGATTCTCACATGACTAGGTTTTGAGTCTATAAACATTCCACTRTGCAAAAAATTGATTATCAATGTACAATGCTTATCCACAGAAAATGATGAAAAGAAATCCACTCCACTCCTGGAGTATTTGAAAATCAAGAGAAAYAACAGAGAAAGAGCGAGGCTGGAAAATAGGGTATGRAAATGACATAGAGTCAGGTTGTCTGAAAGGATGTACTTAGATTTGGTTTACGTGAGGAAGACTCTGGGTCCACTGACCAGGGTTCTGTGCAGTCCCATTGAATTAAAGAATAGATGCACAGTGAAAAGTAATGGAGAATTTTTTCTGAATTGTGTTTTTTATTGCAGAAAAAAAGGCAAGAAAARGAAGAAGCACCCAAGGTAACCAACCATATAGAAAAAGAAAAACTGGGGATTTTTGGCAATCTCTTCATATGGAATAAATTAAATGTTTACTTCACTAGAATCTTTTGAATTTGCTTATTCAGGCACTAAAGAAAAATGCACAGTCCAGTAAAGACACCAAGGCACAAACTRCACAAAGAGAGGACAAGAATAAAAGCGGGTATATTGATCAATTAATCGATAGATAAATGAAAGCAAAACAAACAACAAACATTTCCAGAGTAAATGAATGATCAGAGTAGCACACTATACAATTAACTACAACCAAATAACCCTACAAGAAACCAGTAAACAAGATCAAGAACTGAAAAAAACAATAAATATGGTCTTAAAGATGATGTTAATTTTCACAGGAAAAAGACAGATGGTCGAGATGTAGGGAGGCGAGATCAAGGTCGTAGAGAGGAGGCAAAGAAGTCTGTACGAGAGAACAAGGTTGATACACATCTAAAAATTTTCATTTGCATTCAGCACTTTCAACTATTTTATTTTTATTACTTAAAACCTTTATATAGGTTATTCCTTCAAAAGTTGAAATAAATTACAACAACTTTATTCCTTGAACATAGTTTACTGTATAGTTTACTGTATTGTATAATCATTCTAATAGGATTTTCCATCGGATAAAGAGGGTAAACCGCAAAGGAGTCAAAAAGAACGTGAACGAGAAGGAAAGGTAATGAACATATTAATGATAATGATGTTGATAGGATATCGATATATTTTTTAATCTTTAATAAAGAGTATTTCATATATTAATTACATGATAAAATAGTAATTATAATATTTTGGTTCAACAATAGAATCGCCCTGATTCTGCTCGGCCAAACAGCCGTGCTGATGATCGAAGATATGGAAACCGTCGTGAACGTTCAGACAATAATAGAMGGGATAATRTGGACACATCTAAGGGRCGCGAAGAGAGAGGAAGAAGATTCAATGATAGATACTCAGATGAACGACGTGACAGCCCCTCGAATGACAACCGATCAAATAATAAAACTAGAGAGAATGTTGGGAAAGGAAAAGGGAAAGAAGAATCACCTAAGAAGAACGAGTCAGAGAAAGAGACTGCACGAGGTGGAGCAGATAAAAGAGAACAAGATAAAGAAAAGGATGCAATKAAAAGAAAGGAAAGTGAACGGGARCGTGAACGAGAAGCAAACCGCATAAAGAATAAGGTAAGATTTGATGCAGTTAAAATCAGATGGTGAAACTAAGAGACAGGAATGTCACATTAAACACCAAGTAATGTACCGTTATCTTAGGATCGCCCTGATAGAGCTATCTATCAACCTCGATCAAGAACCACAAGGCCAAACAGTGCTGAACAAGGTAGAAATAGGATATTTGTATTATAGTGTCATATACCACAACCAACTACTAGAATGCTTTGCACACTTTCTTTTCAGTTATTTTTCAAATCTAAACATCACATTCCAATTTCAGTTCCCCCCCCCTCCCTCACACACAAATATTCACCTTTAGCTGATTGTTTTTCAAAGTGAAAGCAGAAACAAAATTAAGTCCTGACAAGGCAGAAGGAAATGAATATAAAGGACGAGATAAAGAAARACGAGATACCAAAGACCGCGACAAAACTCGTGAAAGAAACCGTGACCGTCGTGGAGGGCGTGACAGGGAAYGGGACAAAGAAAGAGATCGGTATCGTGAACCAARAGAACCAAGAGAACAAGATWGTGTCAGAAAAAATGATCGTGATCATTGTGAGACAACTCCCAAAGAATCCCAAAGTGTCAATCAAGATAGRGAAAGCAATGGCTAACCTTACTGTTCCATGACAACTGTTTCAAAAATGGTGTATTTGTGTTGAATTTATTGATTGACACTTAGTGTACATATACAAATTGAATAAAATTGATGTTGACACCTATCTTTTGTATGTTGCTTATCAAATGAGATCTATAAAATATTTTTGTAGGGAGGTATTCATTAACCAGTGAAACAAGCAAAAGAACACATGGAATAAAGTGTATTTCACAGGTTATTGAAAGCCACATACAGCCGAAAACCTGACCATTTTGAACATCAATAACAATAAATTACAATTAAAATGTGTTTATTTCACAGCGCAATTGATTATATCAATGACATATATATAATTTTGTATTAAAAATAGTATGAATATAACCTAAAAAATTTCTTATTTATTTTAAATTTATTTTAAAACCCTATGAAACTAGGAGTGAAGGAATTACATGCTCAAAGCAAACTAACAATTGAAGCCAGATGGACAATAGAACAATGCCAAATCAGGCAAAACATTGACAAATTCTACACAAAATGCTATTGCAATATGTATTATCTATTTTAAAAAAAATACCTTTTGTTTGTATTCAAACATTTTAACATYGAGTCTGAAACTGTATCAATATCTTTACAAATCTTCAGCTTTATCTCTTTCATCTTCTTGCTTGGATTTGTTTTCTTCAATCTGCTTTTTTAGATATGCTACTATATCTTTCATGGCTTCTGCAGCTTCCTGAGTACCATAAGGCCAGGGTTCACTAGTTACAGTTACAAATCCATGGAAAGAATTGTAATGTTTATGCACTATCTCAATTCCTGCATTCTTTAGCCTGTTAGCATACAGAAAACCCTCATCCCTCAAAGGGTCATATTCAGCAGTAATCAAAAAGGTGGATGGAATCCCACGGAAATTTGTTGCTACTAGAGGAGATGCCTTGAAATGARTCAGTGCCTCAGCTGCTGTTTCACTCATTTCTACAAAAGGTTTAGGGATGAYGTCAGGAGATAGTTCTTCCTCATTGCTGTTTTCATCTACTGATTGATGTACATATGAACTAAAACTAGTATTTTTCAAATGTTTGGAATGATTTCCTTCAAGCATGGTATCAACAAGTTTTAAATTTCCTGTAAGATACAGTGACACAAACTCAGCCACATTGCGTCTTGAAAGAGGCACTTCATTTTCATTTTTGATGTAAGATGGCAGGCTAAAATTCAAAAACTGTAGAGAAGGGTAAATGAGGATCTGTAGAAACAAATAGAAATCTAATAAATCAATAAAAAACATTGATCAAAAATGTTTGCATAATCTTAATTTAAGTGGTATACAATGACTAACCTGACCAGCTAAGTACTGTTTCCTACAATGTTTTTCACCAACATAAGCAAGATAATGTGCAACAGCTGCAGCTAAGTTCCCTCCAGCACTATCTCCTGCCACCAAGATGTTTTTAGTRTCAACACCATACTGACTTCCATTATTGAGAAGACCAATGGCAACATTGTAACTATCATGGAAGGCCGTAGGGTATAGGTATTCTGGAGCTTGTCTGTAGCTAATAAAAAACAAATTTCACATACAAAGTATAAAGAAATAATGAGGAAAATCTATCTAATTTATGTTCTCATTTAATACTGATTTGTCTTTCACCTATAATAACCTTCTCTACAACTATAACTTTCTATCATAATTTTCTATAACCACAATGATTATAAACATAACTTACTCTGCACTAATAACAACAACTTGGGCTGTAACAGCAAGTCGTCTGCAAAATGCATCATAAGCATCTAAAAAACAAAATTGAAAATGAATCACAATTCCAGGTCACATGCATGAGTAACAAAGAAACTATGACTAGTCTCCATAGTGCAAAAAGATAAATCTCAACCTTCAAAAAATAGGTGAAACAACCAGTACTTGCATTTCAGACATTAATCCTTTGTTGGTGAAGTACTATCGTCCAAAACATCAGTAAGTTATTTCACCCACTTTTTTACAGTGTTAAAATTTATCTTTTTGCACAACACTGTTTCTTTAGAGACACAAACACACTCTCACACTAGTTTACTGCTAGTTTCACCATTATGACTCCTCTCTACTATAACTATGACCAAAATCAAAACACACAACAAGTTTTGTTTTTATATTGACCTCAGTTTAGAGCCATCATATGTAGAGCAATGAAACCAGATTTTCTTTCAGCTCTACCCTTAATTGAATGATGCAAAATGCTCGTCTATATTAGTGCAAGCCTTACCAAGGCTTCCTATTGTCCATCCACCGCCATGATAATATATCACTGCTGGAAGTAGGTCGTCGTCAACATGGTCATCTTCGTGTTTTGTCTTGTTAACTGGTCTGTATATTCTTACTCTAGTTCCAAATATCTCCGTGCTATTCACCTCTAACTCGTCTGAAAAGGTCTCCCTSCTTAATACTYTTGCAAAGAATGAATACAAGTTTCTTGTATTTATGTGGGGGTTGTCAATTAAGCCCCATCTATGGCCTAGATCAMCCTTCATATGAAAGATAAACAGCGTGATTTTAAAACAATGCAGAATAATAAAAACATAGACAAAGATTAAAAGTACTTAAGAAACATCTTACGAAATCACGACCAAGGTTCATTACAAAGCCAACAACTCGATACGAAAACGTTGAATTGGGATTAAGGCCATCTGGAACGGGCAGCCCATATATCCGCTTGTGCAACTGATGGATAAGAACTGCAGAAAAAACGGCTAAAATTGCCAGAACTACGATAATTCTTCGACCCATTTTTGCACTACTAGGGCCAAAATATACAAGGCGTTGCTCGCCGTAGAAAATCACAGGTAGCCCAGCAAAGTAGGAAAATGAAGGACGAAAATAGAAAAAAAGTCAAGGTACAAAGAATTCATATCCTGTTTACATCCATTCGAATTCTTCTACGTTTATTTCAGCTTTTTTTAATTAATGAACTCGACAATGAACTCTCCTTTGTCTAACCACAGGAATCTCATTCATTTCCAGATCAATTTAAAACAAACAAACAAGAAAAAAATATTATTATAATTAAGAAATAATATAATGAATTAAAGCATTTAAGACACGATGTGTTGCACCCCTTCAAACATCCTCAAGCATAAAAATGAAAAGATATAAATACTGAAAAATAAGAAAAATTAAAACGAAGATTTCCAAGAGACATTCTGTGATGAAGATTTCGGCTCCTAAAAACGTATAACTTGATCAAACCGGCACGTAGTGAATTCGATGAGTTGAACTGGACGAAGCAGGCGGACGAACAATATGAGTCCAAAGATCGGATATTGTAGGACCTGGTTGTGGGACATTTAGAGAATTAGGTATTCATATTTCAGACATTTCATTCTGCTTTATTCAAATAAAGCAGCGATTTTTTTGATAAATTGATTCWTTTACATGTTATGATGAGCTTTTATATACAAAATATACCGCTAGCATATAGTTCTATTATCAAAGTAACTGCACCTGACAGTCATCGATATGTGCCATCGCGGTTATTGGCGCCATATAAGTTTTATATGACAAGTAGTTCAGTTTCAGTTCCGGCAGAGATGTGATTATACAAATGATGTTTCTCCTTTTTTCTCCGTTACCGAGTTGACCGTCCAACGGTGAACTTCAACACAGTCGCATCCCGGCACAAGTTGAACGTTGACTCGTTGGCAACTGTTTTTCAATCTCACGCGCCAGATGTCTCTTCCTTCTAGCGATTTCAACACACAATGTTCAAAAGTAAAATCTGTCATTTTCCATTTGTGAGTGCAACGGTGCTTTGACATCTTGACTGGACCAGGCGAAAAAAAATCTTGGTCTTTAGATGTTTTTTTATATATACAGAAATATCCGTATAATGTCAGAATGGCTATTATTACTATTATTATCAAAATAATTTCCAGCTTTACAAGGTCTTCCTCAACCATCTTCGTAGAGATACCCAATCTACAAATGAATAGGAYGTATTATCAAAAACCCGAGCTTGTTTGCATTTTTTTCAGACGGTCTAGTTCTTATTTATCATGTACAGTTACTGGTCAGCTGATAGCAATAAAATTAGCCACGTTTTACTGGTATGATTAAAGCCTTTGTCAGTTTGTCTGAAAACGACTGTCTGTTATGACATATAATCGTGCTTGTTATATTAGTWTTTCTTCAAGTAGAGAGYACTAAATTATACCAGTCAATAAMGCAATCGYAGTTTTGCTCGACTTGTCACATMTAGCAAGTTTRGCAAACATTCAARAACTGCACGTTTTCGAAAGGTTAYATCAAAATACTACACACTTTACAAAACGTTAGAATTGGCACGTGGCTTGTAAACATGTTCAAACTTGACAGTAACATTGAAATGGCTTTATTTCCGGTTGATAGTTGAAATATTGTTTTTGGAAYYGAATGAGGAAGTCAAYTTGAATTTTTTATACCTGCCAAGTTTGTTTGTATATTAGACCAAGTTACACTATAWTATGCATTTGCTTTGAAGCCTGACTGTTTTGTTTTTTAATTATCTTTTATTTGGTTAATTTAGTACACCTTTATTTATTTCTTTTCTCTTACAAGCTTGTTTCGTTTCCTTTTTAATCTTTTTACATACAATCTGGAAGTATTTCTATGCTAGTAGTTTAAATAATCGAAAAGGTAAAAAACTGGTGCGCACGCGCTAAAGTGCTTTTGTGAATTTTCGGTGCAAAATGTACGTCTGTCTGTGCAAAACGACCCAGAAAATGCATTTCTGAACTTTTTTTGACCTAAAAAGGCTTAAGATATCATGTTATTTAATACTTTGGCAAGTAAAGTGTAAATTATCAATGAGGCTTATAGCGGTTGACTATAACTTCCTCATCATTTCGACAAAACATTAGTGCAAKATGAATTAGTGTATCAAAGTAAAAACAATATAGACTCATCCTCTATGATCTGCACATAGTTTAATAGGAACTATGATCTACAAGATTAAACCATAACTGAAAACTTTAAGATACGTATCCATAATCTAAGAGACAGCAATTCTGAGTCATYGCTCATGAGTTCTTTGATTTTGCCGGACAAAGAAGACGTTCATTTGTTTAGTCTTGTGTGAACACTTTGTGTAGCGAAGTAGACCAATAAAATASAGCCATTTAYACATAATACGACGAATTCAAATGTGAATTCAAAAGGCAGCTTAATTTTATTCCAAGGTGCAAGCAGATTTTTTTTTCACTGTTTTTTCTTAACCGGCCATCCACTTCGAGATGTCTGAGTACTTTCATCTGGTAGGATTCAAAGCAGAATTCTATTACCCTTTTCTATAAGTATATTATTTTTTCGTCAGAAACTCTTACCTTTAGATTGTCGTTAGTCGGCTTGAGTTATTAAAAAACAAAACTTGAGCTCTTTACTGTCATTACTGACGCTCTCGCTGCATAGACGTCACAAAACTACATATGAATACTAAAAGCCTGCCTTTTTATTAACTTCTTGTTTACAATTTCATAGTTCTTTTTATTCTGTCAGCGAAATATTTACCTATCAAGGCTATTGACGCGCSCAAATCGGACGTAGTTTGGATAGCTTTATTGTAAGTACTATACTATTTGTAAATCTAGATCTCTTCGGCCACCTGGTCAGCTACCCGTTCTTGTCCCATTGTAGCTAGGCTCCTCTCACTGAGTCGTTTTAAGTTTCAAAGAGTAACAACCATTAGTGAGACTGCTCTGACCGCATTGAATGAAGACGACACAATATCCTTGAATGGYTTACTAACAAAAAACGATACACTAAGGCAGGGATTTTTCTTTTGTCAGTTRCACCAGACTAACTCTGGTTGCACGAATAGGTTAGAAAAGGGAGTTAGATTAGAGTGCGCTTTCAGACAGACCTTGATTAAACAGATGACAGCCGGATGATTCACCTACTCCATCTCAAGCCCGCAAAAAAACATCTTTTATTTTAACCTAATTTTATAGCATTGTCACTACTTCATGCGAGAGTGTTCATATTGTACACATTTACTGCTTAAATCTTGTCGTCAGTCATCAGTGAGCAGTAATCTACAATGTTAATATGGATCAGCTCAATTAGTCTGGCTTATCATAAAAACACGATTTGAAGATTTTGTTCTTTTTATAAAGCTAGCGTCAGAGTACGTATAGCTGCATGAAATTTAAGCAAAGGGAGCAAGCTGGCTAATAGTACATAGTATGTAACTGAGATAATTTCGCGCGACTATTAAAACAAGCAAGCAATATTCTGTCCTTGTTTTTGTAAAAAATACCGTCAAACTGTCGAATATGTATTTATCATCAGTACGAATCCAGTATGAAACGGTGCTATATCGGACCATATTTTCCTTTAAACTATAAACACTTTGTTCTTTCACCATTCACAGTCAAATGAAAGTCGATCCAGTAAATCAGTCACCTGTTCAACCACTCCGACGGACGGATTAACGTCCGAAACGTCAGTAAGTTGTTTCGCCTACTTTTTTGCAACGTTAAAATTTATCTTTTTGCACAAACGTACTGTTTCTTTAGAAACATCGACGCATCTCAAACTATAGTTTACCGCTAGTTTCCTCAATTTCAACCATACTCAGAAGCCCTTGGGATTCTGAGGATGCTGTTCAACAATCGAAACATGTAATGATAATTCGGGACATGTGTTTGGAAGTTTTTTAATTTTGTCTTTTTTATCCTTGACATTATAATCACCAAATAATGATAAATTTGATGACAGCGTTTCAATTTCCCCTGACCACCTGCTCATCGAATTTTAGTCAGAATTATTAGTTGAAAACTGGGACTGCCTCAAAGTGCACTACAAATTACAGCTTTCACACATGACATCAGCATAAAATCCATAAAAATTTGCGATCTACATACAAGTATATTTTTGCTTTTTGTTTATCTAATCTGGGATAAGCCACCTATTGCGTTCCTTTTGGTGATTTTCGTTTCTCGGAGAAAGAAACAAAAACTTTAAGTGAATCAAACCGAAATTTAGACAACAGCAGTTCCTGGTTGCCTAGAGCATTATCTACGTTCATCATCTAGATCCAGTTCCGATCAGCTACGTCCATGGAGAATAACCACTAGCCATTTTTTTTGCAAGGCCATCCTCATATATTTTTTTTGTTTCCCGTCGCTAGCATCTACTCTGCGAACAGAAAAGTAGATCTGTTCGCAGAGTACTTAGCAACTCCCATTGGTGGGTCGGGCGGTCGGAAAAAAATGAAAAAAATAAATATTATATATAGAATTTAAAATCACCAAAAAACGCCTTTGTATAAACATGGTTTATATATTGGGTTAACGAATAGATGTCGTGATTATATGACAGTGAATCCTGTGTGTCTAACTTGTGGCAGCAAAGGAGAGAAATCACAAAAATCAGCACAAAAATCGAGACTCGCAACATCACTGAAGAAGTGATCAAAACTTAACACTGATGTGTATACATTCTTATACCAAATTAACTTGACGACATTTTTCGTGACAATTTTACCTATAGTTACTTTTTTGGATCTTGAAAAATGAGAGTCGAAAAATATGAAAAAAACGAAAACCGAAAAATATATTAGGAAGGTCTAATGGCGTTTTAGTTGCTGCTGCTCGTTTCGACCGACTTAACGATATGCGTGCCAAATTCTAAAATTCTAAAAAAAACACGCATTGGTAGGAATGACAGGTATATACTTTATTTCCAAAAAAAAATTCAGCCAAAAAATAAGAAAAAAAAAAGATTAACATGTTAAATATTGTCAAAAGACTTTGCGTCAAAAATTAGTAAAACTGAACATTCAAATGCTAGACTAGTTTGTTAAACGTTTTTTTCATGGTTTGTTTTCAATATATTCATTTATGTCAGTACTTGTTTAAATTTCCAGGTTTTACTATAAAATTCCAAACCATCTCCTACAAATATCATTGGAAGACCGTCAAGAATAAGCGCCAGTCCTTCTGTGGTGACTCCAGGTACATGGCGCTGTATGTGGTTAAGCACCTGCTCAGTGGTGGCCCCATAGGGACAAACTTGAAGATAGGAACAAAGAAGCCCAACGACTGTCATGTCTTGGCTTGTCAAGCGTACAACACCAGGATTATATGCGCTTTGAGAGTGACTAACATCCTTGGTCAARTTGTCTACGTCCCCGTCAGCAGGATTCGCCAAGTCAATCGTTAAGGAGACTGAGCATTCTGTAGCATCTGTGACAGTTTCTGCCTTGTTATCCACTTCCTCTACAACCTCCTCCTCTGTTATTTGTTTCTCCTTCTTCCTTCCTCGTCTTCGCGTTCGAGGTCCTCTTTTACCTTCGTTCTTTGCTTTCTTTTGCTCWACTTTTTCCGGTGGTTTTTCATTCTCTGTTGGTTCTTCATTCTGATCACTTGAAAGTTGTTCTATTGAGGTTTGTTGAATTTGAGAACTTTGCTCAACAGTAGTCTGTCCCGTGTTATTACTAACGTCTTTACTTTCTTTATCAACCTCTACTTCGATATCAGTGGGATTTATCTAGGTACAATGAATGGAGATTAATTATGATAAAGACTTGCAGTAGCTAAATAGTAAATTATTATAACTTTAGAAGATGTAGTATTGTATGTGAGAGTTTGAATATACAAAGTTAATACCATTCATCTTACCTCTGGTGTATTCAAAGTAACATTTTGAAGGAAGTTTTGCAATCCTTGTACAGCAGTCATTAACCTTGCAATCTTAAAATCAAAAACACAAAAGGAATGAACACTTTGAATACTAGTAATGATACAAAAAATAAAAGTTCTTCATGGTCATCAATCCCAAATGAGGATCATTCCAAAAAAGTACTATCATCATCATCATCATCATCATCATCATCATCATCATCATCATCAACTCAGGCCTGTAGGCTGCCTTACGAGGGATGGGTTCGTTTTTTTCATAATGCGGACATAAATTAAAATGTTCAACTACATTTGTTCAATGCACAGACAAAATAAGTTCATAACAAAATAATTTTAAGATAGAACAATAAAAAACGAGAAACATTGGACCTTTTAAGCTTGTGGGGAGGTTCGCGCAAAACCCCCAAAGCCCCCCAGCCTACTGGCCTGCAACTGATAATATCAATGAAACAATTATCATCATCACTTTCTTAAACAACTGTCATTACACTCCATCAAATGCTACTGCTCATCTTTTCACCTGCAAATCCTTGTCTTGAAATACACTGGCAAATTTCTGCTTAAGGTCTACAATTTCCTTCTTGTAACCCTCCACTTCCCCCATGAGTGATGCATTTTTTTCAGCAAGAGCTCTCAAGCTTGCATTTTGCGCTCGAAACTTGATGTCCTGTGCTTCTAAAGCAGCCTGTGTGGCTTCTTCTGATTCTAATATATCAATGTGGTACAATGCCTTAGTATTCTGTTTACAATTATATATATATATAAAAGACACAAACAGAACCATTCCATTAAAAAAAAAAACAAGCTAACAAATTGACACAAAAACACAAAGACAAACTAAAAGAAAATCAAACCAAAGAATGAACAATTTGTAAAGGATAATGTCTACTACATTTTGGACAAATTTTAAGACCATGTGAAGAATTAAACTATTGTCTTGATAAACCTTACCGCCACAGACGCATAAATCATCCCAAAACCTTAAAATTATGCTGTTACCCACTACCTAACCATAAAGCATAAATTACTTACTTACCAGAATCCCTTTATTTATAGTTTTATTGCTTACAAACCCATTAGTTTACAACCATTTGTATGTAAAAGTAATCGGCTGGCTAGAAATCAAGCCCAATTTGATTATAAATCACAATACCTCCAGCTACATATAAAGTAGGTCCTCTATTTCACTTGTGTGAACACAGTGGCTTTTGTACTGAAATCTTACCTGTTTTAGCCTGCTTTGCCATTGGTTCACCTGTTTCCTCATTGTCTACTAGACTGCTGGTGGGTTCTGATTTGATTTCGCTGTGTTCTTGATCATCATCAAGATCCATACCTACCTCCTCACGTTTCTCCAATTGTTCTTCTTCACTTATTTTTATTTCCTGCAGGAAACAGCCAACATACRTTGTTTTCCAATGAGTCAGGGAGTATGCTTATGTTAGCTTTTCCCTTTTTGCCTATTACTACCAAGCAGGTACTTCACACCCAAAGACGGAGATATTGTCTGTTTGGTTTGTGCCTTATAAGCACTTTTTTTGTAATTTACACAAATAACATGTAGTTTCTTTATCAAACCATACAGTACGTACACACTGGACAATACTTTCTCTATTTGTCTTGTTGGCTAAATTAAAATCCCCATATCAACTCGCTATCAATTATCCAAGCTATAAAATGTCAGATTTCAATAAACCCACAACCTCCAACAAGCTCAATTACATGTACTACATTTAAAGAAATGAGTGATTCCTGGTGTATTCATCCTAAGAAGAGGCTTGCATTCAGAAGAGAATTAAAAATATATGAATTATAAAATATACATGAAATTTATAAAGTAAACTGCACAGAAGTGAATGAGTTTCATTTGTTTCTTCAGTTCTCACCTTTTCCACTTGCTGATGCCAATCATCAATGTTTCTTCTCTGAGCCTTGCTGAAATGATCCCAACATCTCTTCTTTGATGCTGCTTGGAAKATTTTCATGATAGCAGTGCCTGAAACAAACCRCAATTAGTAAAAAGAACTAACCTTTAATTAACTTAAAAAGGCAAAAACACTTCAAAGCTCAAGTTCTCTACTAGATGGATGTCCAGACACATATGTTACTACATAAAGATGTTAAAACAAGTCACACCTTGAGCCATCATAAGTTTTGCTCTTTCTTCTTGCTCAACCTTCTGCCTTTCCACGATTTCTTCATGCTCTTTTTTCTCTTTGACAAGTCTCTTGATGTGGTTATGGACAGCACTYAACAAGTTGTAGAAAGTTGATGAGGTTCTTCTTGTACATTCACCTCTCTCAAGCCATTGTGCCAGCGTTTGAAAAGAYTCATGGAAACCTGAGGTTGAACGAATGCTTTGCATAAGTTCYGATGCAGCACTTTCTGAATACATTATCAAAGGTTTCTCCATGTCATTCTTCATRTGCCTTGCTTCCCTTTCCTTTGCTCTTAGCATGATTTCATACTCCTTCTCATCTTCTCTGGACTTTGCATAGTCAATATGTATCCGTCCTCCAAAACTTTCATTTCCTGTTCCTAAGTARAGTTTATATCCACTGTAGGTTACAGCTATATCAACAGACTCTGCCTCMACAAATCTCACATGTGCAAACTTGGTACCACCTTTCCCTACTGATATCCTGACAGTGTCAACAGCTCCACATGT